CCCTCTCCTCAGCCCTGGGGAGGCCTCATCTGATGTCCAATTCTGGGCTCCCCAGGACAAGAGAGACATGGCACTACTGGAGAGAGTCCAGCAGAGGGCTATGAAGATGATTAGGGGACTGGAGCAAGCATCTCTCCTATAAAGAAAGGCTGAGAGAGCTGGGCCTGTTTAGCCTGGAGAAGAGAAGACTGAGGTGATCTCATCAATGTATACAAATATCTAAAGGGAGGGTATCGAGAGGATGGAGCCAGACTCTTCTCACTGGTGCCCAGTGACAGGACAAGAGGCAACGAGCACAAACTGAGCCACAGGAAGTTCCGCCTGAACATGAGGATAAACTTCTTTCCTGTGAGGGTGACTGAGCTCTGGAACAGGTTTCCCAGAGAGGCAGTGGAGTCTCCATCCTTGGAGATATTCAAAACCCGTCTGGATGCAATCCTGGGAAATATGCTCTAGAGGACGCTGCTTGAGCGGGGGGGTTGGACTAGATGATCTCCAGAAGTCCCTTCCAACCTTGGCCATTCTTTGATCAGAAAGTACAGTGACTCTCCCTGACTACTGCCCTTCAGCTTCTCACAATGCTTACTTTAAGGATTTCCTGTGCTGAATATAGGCCTATAAATTAAATATGATAGTCTGGAGACAATAGTCTATAATATTTTCTCTCTTCTACCAAGGAGAAACACTTACTTGCTATTAACAAGTCATGCCAACTTCATGTCCTACTTTTGATTACGCCTGCACAACTCGTGCATCAACAGAGTTGCATGATAAAAGAAAGCAGATTGTGACACTAATTAGAACATCAAATTTTAACAGGAAAGGAGACTAACAATTTCCACCTTTGAAGATCCACCCAGGCAGATCTGAAACATAAAAGTTTTTAATACATGCATCATCTTCACTTTATTCTTGGCATTAAATCTTTCAACCATTCTCTCCTCCTCCCAGCAATGTTTATTTCAGAGGTCCAAGTTCCTCAGCTGTTTCATGAACACTATTTTAAATTAGACAGGCGTCCACGCAGTGACCAATGAATCAAGACCACGGCTATGACGTATGGTTGTATTCACTATATATTCATGACACTAGAAATTATAGTTCACTACCCAGATTAACCTAAGCATTTCCCTGATAACTCTGAGAATAGGTGAAGTTATTTCAAAAATAACTTCAGGAGGGGATTTGGGGAGGCACAAGTTTCTTGTGTGTTTTCACAATACTAAGTGATTTAATATTAAAAGTAAAGCTTTTTTGAGGTCTTTCAAGCGGATGTGTTAGAGAAGTACAAAGCGCTACCATATGGTTATTTAAATACTGAATGACAGATTGTCAAAATAATTGCTTGGACAACAAAAAAATCTAAGTAAGTTTACATGTGGGTTTAAAACTAAACCATCACTCTAGCAGAAAATCGGAACTGCTAAAACTAGAAACAATAAGCTAGTAGCATTTGCCTCAATAAAAGAAAATTAACTGCTTTGCGAAGAGTCTCAAGCCCTGGAGACCATTACTAAACAGAAGAACCTCCAGGTGTTGGGAATAAACGAAGGAAATCATAGTGTGGAGTTCACAGAGGTAACATAGAATTTATTGCTGTATTTGTCAGCAATCTCCCCACTGCAGAGTGAAGAGGCATAAAGGATGTCAATCCTTATGTGGGCATTTACAGCAGCACTGAGAATTCTGCTGGAACCAATTTGAGAGAAGAAATAGAGCATACAATCACTGTGACTATCATACTCCCTGCTTGTAGTACATAAATGGCATAAAATGAGGGAAGTAAGCTGCTTCTTTAGAAAAAGACATTCTTTTCCAGATGTGCAAAGGGGCAGCAAAACTTTGTCAATATTAAAATTGGTGAAACATAATCTTTTGACTCTCAGATTTTATCTTATGGTAAACATGTAGCCTGCTTGTCACACAACTCATTAGTCACCCCACAAGGAAAGATCATGATAGTAATAGTTCTTTGAATGTGAGGCTAGGAAAAACATCATCACAGTCTTAAGATAGAGGGAATGAGAACGTTCAGGCATATGAAAGAGTAACAGTGATTTACACAAAATAATCATTCCTTTTTTCTGTTTCAGCTTCACCTTGAAGATACCAATTTTCCAGAAGAACTAATATTCTGATAAATAAATATTCCTACATAGTTCTAGCGTCACTGGGGTGTAATAACTCTAAAGTATCTTTCCACTAATGATTATTTTCTTTTTTTAGTAAACCCAAAAATATATTCTATCCAAAAAGGATTTCTACTCCACTTAACCTGTACTGACAGTTAAATCTCCGAAAGGGCTAAACACGTGCTCCTCATTTGACAAAACACTGATTTCACATGTTCATTTTCAGCAGAGTGTTGTTACTGGCAGGATAAAAAGGGTACAAGTACAAGCAAGGGAACAGCAGTAGCACAAAGAACTACATTTTAAGATTTAAATTGGGCAAATATCACTTACACTTCAGCGATAAGGTAATGATGTTTATCAAATGCATAGTAAGTGCAAAGATAAGGTAGTGCCCCGAATGACTGCACTGACTCTTGCACAATATGGCTGCCCATCTTTGAGCAGAAAGGACATATTCATGGAATACACAGTAGCAATGATTCACTTTTTAAAGTACAGAGTGGGATGTCATCAATGGAATTTTTGAAGTACAAATCCCAATAGTTTCAACAACACAAACTACCATTTGCTCTTTCTGCAAATCTCCTCCCATAAGTCATTAAGAAATAAAATTCCATCCAAAAAGCTACACTGGCCCAACCAGATCCAGTAACTACTGAAGTTACAAAGCCTCAGAGACCCCATTTCTATTTTGTTATCATGCAAGCGCATAGTATTTACTTTCATATAAAAAATATAAAGCAGAAGGAAACAGTTCCAATTATCAAAGGCTACAAGATGGTGTACGTGCACAGGAAGTGTCAATTTAGTCTATGAAGCAGGAACTGAGAAGTGTCAAAAACAGAACAGGCATTAAACCAAGAATTACTGAAGCTGATGTAACAAAACATTGATTAAGAATCAACATTCTCCCCAGTCTCAAAATACAGCACTCTGTCATACAAGCACATCTGATTTCTAGCAGCTCAAAAGACCACTGGCTAGGTACATTTAAAATAAGGTATTTGGATTTTCTAAATGCAGGGAGAATTTTTAAGATGCTCTTCCATTCAAATGAAAACTATCTGAAAGTTTGCTTGCATGCTCAGTTCAACGTTCTTGCTGGTTTTTTCACCTCTAGAAATTCATTTTTCTATCTTAAAAAGCCTACAGCATTTAAATTGCAAAATTCACTTACTAAAGAACTCATCAAAAGTAGTAACAGTCTTACTAAATAAGAAACACTCAGAAACGTCCATCTGCAAAGTTGAGATCATAAATGTATGCTGAAAACATTACCTTCATTAACTTCACTATCTTTTAAGTAACAGTCTGACTAAATCTTGTTCAGGAGAAGTTCTTAAAGTCAGAATAACATAAAATTAGAGCACACTTAATATCATACAGGATGTGCATTTGTTATCTTATGCTAGCAGTACCTTTTTTTTTTTTTTTTAGAAACAAAATAGGAACCTTGAGAACGTTATTTCAGAGTTAATATATTAAACGTTTGGGGTTAAGAATGTCTTAGATGACATTCTGGACGATGTATTTGAGATGCATCCCATTTGTGATTCATTTCTATTTCAAGTGCAAAGTTTTCTGCTATGTGTAATACCCAAGAAAAACTTCAGGTTTTTTTTAATGTTACGGTTCATGAAGTCTCTAATTCTCTGAACTAATTTTCTCAACTTTTCTACAATTTTAGGAAGTTGCATGCTGACTGTTAGAAATTTACCACTGAAAGCTATTAAACAAATGACTTACTAAACCAAAAGAGCAAAGAATTGTTCCTAAAAATAGAATGAAACTAACAAGAAACTATGCCAGTCAAGATTACCTCACTGGCTTTGGAAAATTACCGCATGTTTCTATCAGTTTAACTTAATTTAGAAAGGAATTTGACCCAATGCAGATTAACAGTTACAGATGCCAGCAAAGCTTGTTCTGCTGGAACCTTACTGTTGACACTATCTTCAACCTTTTCAAAGGAAGGAGGTATCCTGAGCTGTTACACTCCACACTGGCCACTTCCTATTCTCCCTTGAGCAACTAGCAGTAGGAGAATAACTCATAGCTATTAAGGGCATCTTAATGCTTTTGCTCCTCTACTATAATCAGGAGACATGGGTGCAAAAAGTATTAGTGCAGAAAAGTTCACCACTCTTGAAACCACCATATAATTATAACAAGGTCAAAAAAATGTAAATACTGAAAAATAATTACTGAACTGTATTTGCAACATATGAACATTTCCTAATGCAAATGCAACATCCTTACCTCGCGGTACATAAGTCATCTGTCCTTGAAGGATGTGGCAAACCATAATTTGATGTCGGTAACTTACTCAGGTAAGTTTCTTTTGCTGGAATAAAATAGGCTTTATGTTTGTTATTAAGTATTTCCATGTTCTGATAACTCCCAAAAGATGAATTCAATGTCCCTAAACCTCCAGGAAAACATGAGTGAGAAGAGTTTTATGCAAGCTGCATTTATAAAATATGATATGTTTATGTGTTTTACAATATGTATAAAAACCATGATCCATTAAATTCTTGTCTCCATGAGTCAAGGCCAAGTTTGAATAAGCCCTAAATACATAAAAAAATATATATTTTTGAAGAATATCAAGGGATGGTATAGAGAGACTAAAATATTACAAAACTATACTTTATTTTATAGAAAATTAATTTCTACAGCAATTATCATGCGGCACCTAAAAACAGAACTAGGAATTAACAAGGAATTAAAATGAAGTGAGAATACCTGAATAATATTTTGTTAGCATTGACTGTCCTAATCATACATAAGTACATACTGATGTCAGTAATATATCTTAATGCATGGAAGACTGCATACACTAAGAAATGATACATTATTTTTGCTTAATTATTTTAGTCAATTGTTTGAATTGCTAATTCAATCAATACTCATTAAACACTGGAGGAAGAAAAAAAAAAAAAATCACACAGTAATGCTAATGGTCTCCATATCTCTCACAGTACGTGTAGAAGTTTCCAGGTGCTTGCTTGTGTAGTGTTTTATATATGCCAGTGATATGGATACTACATCTAACTGGCTTCAAATGTCATTTAGTTGTAGGAAACTAGTCACGGATTCAAGTGTCCTGCCTCATTTTAATTGACTCAACATTTGGTCTCAGTGTGCCAATAGCACACACAGTTAGGCCACTCTTTCTACAGTTTTTCAAGGTCAGTGAAAAGAAAGAGACATTCAGGACGCTTCTTCCTTAACATAGCATAGTTTAAGATTTGGGCAAAATGTACGCATTTTTACTTTCATCTGTGGTTGAAAGTTAGGTTCCTGTCCTTTATGTCCTTGAACACACTTTCTACTTCTGCAGACTTCAGTATTTGGTCCATTAATCGTGTCTGGGCCGGTCACTAGATGGCACTGCTACCAAAATATACATGCACACTGCCAGACCACTACACCAAGAATTGATCTACTCCTACTTTTAAGATTCATGACCTGTTTCACCAAAAACAGCAAACAAAGCTGGTGATACAGTGCTCTCCAGTAACATGATATAAATGATTTTGCATTTCTTCCTACAAAAGCAGGAAGAAAAAGTGGTATTGCCCAAATCCCCACTACTACTGGCAGTAACAAGGAAGATTCTACCTAGGTATTCAGAAAGCCCAGATTTTCTGTTTATGGATCTCACAACATCAGACATGACACAGAGGCAGACATAGCTGTTAATTTTGTTTTCACCAGAACATCTAAAATTATGAAAATCCATATTTCCTTCTTAAAAAGATTATTGAAGTCAGAATACAGTCATGGAGAATCTTAACACTTGTTTTTCAGTATTTTTGGACTTTTTTGTTCATGAAAACGTTACATGAAAAGAACCTTTAAATTGCAAGGCCAACTCCCAATAAGAAAAAAATTCAAAATAAAACTTCTGTGCTGCCTGAATTCAGCCCTTCAGCACAAATATATATTAGAACACAAACCTCAGATGATTACAAAACACATTTTTCTGTGGCCCTCTGACCTAGGCAGAGCACTACATACTGCTCAATAAAAGAGTAGTTTGAAACTTAGCTTTATCCTTAACTATACAATGCAGCTCTTGCATTTTTGCTCTTTCTTACAAAGTATCCCAACAGTAATCCTGGTATAACGATGGAATTACTGAACTTCTCATGCAGAGATACTGTAACTTAGTGTTACAGTATCTTTGTGCTTTCTCAACATTAACACTTCCAGTAAAAACTCTAACACAATCTCCAGCCTGGAGATGAAAAATGGAGGTCCCCTCCCCCCCCAAAAAAGGGGGGCAGGGGGGAAGGTTTCCATGATCTTTAGGAGCCCAGCAGGAAAGCTAAGGGTCTAGTTTTTCAGAATACTGATCATTTTATAATTATTTTAATTTTCATTAATTAAATTTTCAGTTGTTACAAGTTCTCTATTCACATGACCTGTAGCCAGGCATTGTAACATGCCACAGCAGAGCATACTCTACACCTCTCTCTAGCTAAACAGTACCGAGGTGCTGGGAAATCCTGGGGACAGCTTTCCAGCCAAACTTTAAAAAAGGCTCCAAAAGGAACAAAGGCGGCAAAAACACAGTTTAAGAAGATGTGGCAACAAATGACAGAGCCACTAGATGGAGAACTTTTTCCCTTCTTTGCTGAAAAGGATGCTGCTGCTTGACATAAAACTAGATTTTTGTTATTCGTGGCAATATTGGAGCAGTTTCTCAGCTGGCATAAGACCAGACCAGACTACAAAACGGCATAAAATAAGGTCCCACCAATGGCAGGAATAAAATGTCATACTTCCCATGAACTAGCCATTTGAAGGAAACATGATAAGCTGCCGCTGGGTTTCTGGTATTTATCAACAGCAGAGGAAGAGTAAGATTCTGGAATCTCATACTCTAGCTGAGGTTCTAGATGCGAATGTGGTCACTTAAAAACGTGAAGCAGCAGAAAACCGAGGTGCTTTTTTCTGATGTTCCCTTAAAAATCTTCTGTGAGCCAGCTATATCTCTTTTTGCTTGTGTAGTGTTTTATATATGCCAGTGATATGGATACTACATCTAACTGGCTTCAAATGTCATTTAGTTGTAGGAAACTAGTCACGGATTCAAGTGTCCTGCCTCATTTTAATTGACTCAACATTTGGTCTCAGTGTGCCAATAGCACACACAGTTAGGCCACTCTTTCTACAGTTTTTCAAGGTCAGTGAAAAGAAAGAGACATTCAGGACGCTTCTTCCTTAACATAGCATAGTTTAAGATTTGGGCAAAATGTACGCATTTTTACTTTCATCTGTGGTTGAAAGTTAGGTTCCTGTCCTTTATGTCCTTGAACACACTTTCTACTTCTGCAGACTTCAGTATTTGGTCCATTAATCGTGTCTGGGCCGGTCACTAGATGGCACTGCTACCAAAATATACATGCACACTGCCAGACCACTACACCAAGAATTGATCTACTCCTACTTTTAAGATTCATGACCTGTTTCACCAAAAACAGCAAACAAAGCTGGTGATACAGTGCTCTCCAGTAACATGATATAAATGATTTTGCATTTCTTCCTACAAAAGCAGGAAGAAAAAGTGGTATTGCCCAAATCCCCACTACTACTGGCAGTAACAAGGAAGATTCTACCTAGGTATTCAGAAAGCCCAGATTTTCTGTTTATGGATCTCACAACATCAGACATGACACAGAGGCAGACATAGCTGTTAATTTTGTTTTCACCAGAACATCTAAAATTATGAAAATCCATATTTCCTTCTTAAAAGATTATTGAAGTCAGAATACAGTCATGGAGAATCTTAACACTTGTTTTTCAGTATTTTTGGACTTTTTTGTTCATGAAAACGTTACATGAAAAGAACCTTTAAATTGCAAGGCCAACTCCCAATAAGAAAAAAATTCAAAATAAAACTTCTGTGCTGCCTGAATTCAGCCCTTCAGCACAAATATATATTAGAACACAAACCTCAGATGATTACAAAACACATTTTTCTGTGGCCCTCTGACCTAGGCAGAGCACTACATACTGCGAAAAAAATTCAAAATAAAACTTCTGTGCTGCCTGAATTCAGCCCTTCAGCACAAATATATATTAGAACACAAACCTCAGATGATTACAAAACACATTTTTCTGTGGCCCTCTGACCTAGGCAGAGCACTACATACTGCTCAATAAAAGAGTAGTTTGAAACTTAGCTTTATCCTTAACTATACAATGCAGCTCTTGCATTTTTGCTCTTTCTTACAAAGTATCCCAACAGTAATCCTGGTATAACGATGGAATTACTGAACTTCTCATGCAGAGATACTGTAACTTAGTGTTACAGTATCTTTGTGCTTTCTCAACATTAACACTTCCAGTAAAAACTCTAACATAATCTCCAGCCTGGAGATGAAAAATGGAGGTCCCCTCCCCCCCCAAAAAAGGGGGGCAGGGGGGAAGGTTTCCATGATCTTTAGGAGCCCAGCAGGAAAGCTAAGGGTCTAGTTTTTCAGAATACTGATCATTTTATAATTATTTTAATTTTCATTAATTAAATTTTCAGTTGTTACAAGTTCTCTATTCACATGACCTGTAGCCAGGCATTGTAACATGCCACAGCAGAGCATACTCTACACCTCTCTCTAGCTAAACAGTACCGAGGTGCTGGGAAATCCTGGGGACAGCTTTCCAGCCAAACTTTAAAAAAGGCTCCAAAAGGAACAAAGGCGGCAAAAACACAGTTTAAGAAGATGTGGCAACAAATGACAGAGCCACTAGATGGAGAACTTTTTCCCTTCTTTGCTGAAAAGGATGCTGCTGCTTGACATAAAACTAGATTTTTGTTATTCGTGGCAATATTGGAGCAGTTTCTCAGCTGGCATAAGACCAGACCAGACTACAAAACGGCATAAAATAAGGTCCCACCAATGGCAGGAATAAAATGTCATACTTCCCATGAACTAGCCATTTGAAGGAAACATGATAAGCTGCCGCTGGGTTTCAGGTATTTACCAACAGCAGAGGAAGAGTAAGATTCTGGAATCTCATACTCTAGCTGAGGTTCTAGATGCGAATGTGGTCACTTAAAAACGTGAAGCAGCAGAAAACCGAGGTGCTTTTTTCTGATGTTCCCTTAAAAATCTTCTGTGAGCCAGCTATATCTCTTTTCTGTTCCAATTCTACTCCAAACATATTAAAAACCTTACTCCAACTTCAGTTTTCCTGCAACAGCCTGTTCCTTCAGTAGCTTCCTCAGTCCTATACCTGCTCCCCCATTACTACAGGTCCCAGTTCCACTCCTGCTCCCTCTGTCTCCCATCAAGATAGTTCCAGTCTTCATACAACTATACCTTTAACAAGACGGGCTGAAGATTCCTTCTGTGCCTTGGATTCCATTGCTCCTTTAACTTTTGTACAGCTGGGTGGTGGCTGAGTCTCTTCAAAAAATTTTCTTTGCAATAGTACTGTGTATTTTACCCCACCTATCAGAAAAAAGTAAAGAAATTCCTTGATTTAACTTCACTGGTTAGTCTGGTTGGGCCACTCCCAAGTTTTGAACAACTGTTTTCCCATGGCTCATTGATCACCTTTTCCTAGCGTCTTTAAGAAGCCACTCAGGAACACCATTTCTGTTAGTTTGGAGATGAAGATCACTAGGGTTAAAGTGGTTTACCTCAAAACTTGCAGAAGAATCTAGGACAAAATGTTATCCCTGTGTACTATAAAACAATGTATCTTTGGAGGAAAACATTCAGGCAGCTGAGGCTTGTTAGAACTCCCAGAATACTGGACCTGCACAAGAGGTAAGCAGTTTTTGGTAGTTAGCCGAAAGCAGCTTCTCTATGCAGACTCCTCTGAAAGACTGCAACTTTAGGAAGCTAAGCTTTTAATCCTTTCCCCTGCCTGCTTCCTGTTCCTAAGATATAAGGAGGCTGTTCAGAAAAGAATGAAATACAAACGAGGTTCCGTTCCTGAACAACAGCTGTTCAGGTGCTCAATACATCTTAAAAGATAAAAACCAAACGCTCCATTATAAATTTCCAGCAACAAAGCTCATTCTCTGACCAAGCTCTCCATATGTCGGCAAGCATTTGATGTATTAGTATCAATTGAATCCAAAAACAAAAACAAAAAGAAACCCATACACACAAGCCTGTGTTAACTAGCGTTTGAAATCTTATAACCTCTCCAAATCTCTACCCACTGAGCTACAAGGGTATTATTTTACTAATAAAATATACGCATTTTAATAGTAAAATTAATTTCAACAGCAGTTGCAGGGAACCAGAATAAAGGATATCCCATGTTCTATAGGCTTCATCTCACACTGACTTCTCTGGTATTTAATAAGGACTGAGTTCTTATTTCATACATGTCTATATGAGCCATAACAAGATCCCTATTTTTGTAATTAAAGTAACTCAGCTAGTAGATTAACTAGTAAAAAATTCAATCAGTTAGTAAATAACTATGATTGAGAATCAATCAATGAGTGGTTTCAAAGAATGTGGCCAAAATTTAGCCATGGATTCAAGTAACTGGTGGGGGGGGGGGGGCAGAACAAGGGGGGGGGGGAGCAGAACAAGAGGGAGAGGATGAAACAGAAAGAAGCACAACATAGAAATATGTTGTGAAAGTTTTGCGTCCTCTCAGGAAACGAAACACAAAATGCAGCCATTACCACTATCACTATGCAACACCCTCAAATAACTCTTTTAGTTTACAAAGGTGTAGCTTACAGACCTGATTGTATTTTTCTGCCATAAAAATTTTCAGAAGCTGACTTATGCATTAATCACAATACAAATAAGCAGGAACTATTTTAGTGGGAATGACATCTAAATTTCAAATAATCCCATCAATGATTTACTAGTAGATGCAGTCACAATTTCAAGATGCAAACAGACATATTACATATTCAGGCTTACCAGCAGCATCCGCATTCTCTACTTGTGAGGAAAAAATCTTTGGTTGACTAAACTGAGCTTTTGAAGAAACTTTGTCCTTGGAATCCCAGAGTTTTAAAGTTATTTTGTGATCTCTTAGTTTTATTAGATATTCATTGGTGACATTGATATTAATACTATGGTTCCACGACATCCAGATCTGGTCATTTTCAAACCATGGTATAATAGTCTATTAAAACAAATACGAAAATCTTTACAGGAGCTGACCAGTACCGAAGAACTTATATTCACATGTTGACCACTATCACAACTATTTAATTACAGACAGTACAGTGCATGGAAAAAGCTAGTAAGCTCTGGAAGAGCTCTAGGGTTACAAAACATTACAGACAAATATTCAAGGGAGATTAGAATTAGAAAAAGAACCTAACTGGAGAACAACATAAGGAGAGATATCATAGTACAGTTTCTCCTTTTCTTAAAGCAATAGGCAGTCATCTAGAAGAGGGATAAAAGAGGGATACTATTAAGTGTATTAGAAGAAAGCTGTTCTCTAAGTGTACATTTCTTATTTTTGCAGCTCATGCTGGGACTTACACGACTCCCATCACTGTGTCACAGCAGCACATTTTGTTGGGTTCATACAAGTACTCCTATCAAGTCAAGGTCTGACATTATGAAGACATGAGATAATAATAAACAGCAGTTAAACTGTTGGTCAGCATGAGTGCATATACTTAAGACTTAATAGAATACTATAAAAGCAAGTACGTACACTTTAAAATGATGACTTGGTACCTACTAAATTAAAGTGCCACCTCTAAACTTCACTTGTGCTAAACTATAGGAACAAAGCATGTAAAGATGCTGATACAACACATTTCAATCAGCAACTTTGCAAGAGCTTTTTTGTTTAACAAGAACCTCAAACTGATTCTCAAGAAAAAGCGTAAAAAACAACCCACAAAGACACAAAGAGGGCCACTCAGACTGAAACGCAATTTGCTCCGTTATACTTCTGAAGGAATGTTGATGTTTATACTGTGTTTCTAAGTATTTGAAAGTTAAGAAAAGCTAGCAAAGGAAAAGATCTGACCATGTTACCTATCAAAACTTCAAACTCTAGTAACACTATTTAATTCTTAGGTTGTGTTCACTGTTGATCAGTGGTATGATGAGCGAAAAGAAAGGATGGACAGTCAAATTGAAAGTGTAATAGATTTTGGCTGGCAAATGCTTTCTTTTTTTTTTTTTTTTTTAATTGATTTGCTGTCTTCCTACAAAGAATTTGCAAACTCATTTCAGAAGACAGTCCTTACTAAATTGTGCTCTCACACTAGAAGGGAGCTCAGTGAACTGTACAAAAAGCTGAGATTAATTTAAGCTCAAATCTCCCTTCTTGCGTAACTTGAAGTAATAGATTGATACTGAATTACTAGACTGCAACATAACGTGAATATTAGTGACTTATTTCACTTAATCATGAGTTCTGATAACAGAGGCAATCTTTCCTACCTTCAGCATTTTCACCAATAAAAGCGAACCATGTTCATAACTAGTAAGCAACAATTTGGTAGTTTACTTGTAAGAAGACAAATGTACCGAACCTTCAACTAAAAAACCATCTAGACAGCCAATGGCCACTAAGATTTAGGCAAGGAGCATATAATCTGAACGATCTTTAACAGGACTATTCAGAAAAATCCAGAGAACAGGATACAGCGCTTTAAAAGCAGGAGTCTCTGAAACTTAGTTCTTCTCAAGCAATTTTAGCATTAACTTTTTAAAAAGAAATTTCACAGCAAATCAAAGTGTATTCAAAACATTATATCCAAATTGGAGGTTCCTGGATTTGAATGCACAGAACTTGTTTAGACATGTTTTACATAGCTTTGAGCAAAATCTGGAAATTTCTACGAGTATCTTAAAATCTTTTTCCCCCCTCAAAGACTGGAGGCATAAATTTCATTCTTTAATCATTTTTAATAGAATGGATAGTTGCCTTCGAGCTACTGCATTATTATCTTGGTACTTAAAAGATAAAAAACATAATCCCAAGTAAACTGATAATCTAGAGGAAAATAAAACAAATTTTGAGCAGATGATAAAGATTCCATCAACCTCTTACTAGAAATGTAAGACCTTACTGATGATCTTGACTAGCAGAGTTAATTCCTATTTTCGATACTTGTTTCCACACCTGTGTGCAGATAACACCTACGCAATTGTTAAAATAACTACAACATTCCACCTTTGAAAGCATTCTCCATATACAACATTCTGGACTACTCAGGGGTTTTTTTTGTTTGTTTGTTTGTTTGTTTTTACCTTGGAATCAGACTCTGCGAATAGCTTGGCAACCGTCCCAAACAATACCAAATCCAGTTTTCTGGGTGAGATATCATCTGGCAGAAGGAAATACTCAATGTGATAGTAACGTCGCATTCTTGGAATAGCTCCGTGATTGTCACCTTGGATACAATTTCTTTGCACCTCAGCTACATCGGATGTCTTCCGTTTGTGCCCTAGTGAGAACATTAGTATTATTTGAGAGTGTCAAACGTTATCGAAGATGAGCATTGCAGAAAGCATTTTTTTTTCCTCTTGAAAGTGTCAAGTGGTAACAAGAGTAACATCATGACAGCAGAAAAATTACTGATTTTTTTAAATTACTTAATTTAAATTACTTAATGTGAAACTTATCCCAGCGCCCAAGCCTGCTGTTTTTACTCAAGTTTAACTGCCGTAACAGTCCATTAAGTTTCTGGAACTCCTCTCATTCTCTCTTCCTGCAGCATGTCTTCTTCCAATTCTTGTAACTCCCAAGACACGTATGTGCTATTACCCAGATAACTTGCACAATTGTTCCACACCACTCAGGAAAAGGCTCAATGTACCCATTCCTGCTATGCCTAAACACCTCTATGCCATGCCTAAGCAGAATCAAACCACATCTGCTGAACAGCTGCTGCCTTCACCCAAAATGGCGATATTACCTTTAGACCACAAATTATTTTGATTATTAGGCAGTGACTGACTAATAAACATCAGCTAAGATAATCAACTCGAACAACTGTGACTACTGAGGAGACGGTAGTCAGGAAAGGTTTTCAGTCACTAGTCACCATCATCCAATGATGAAAGGCTCCAATGTCCCACTGCCATTTTCTCAAGTGATCTACCCAAGAAAATTCAAATCAACTAACATATTTTCCAGTATTATCTCTTCAAAAGACCTAAGATTCTGCCTCACAATGATTTTATGACATAATGAAAAAAAGGATTCTTAGGAAAACCTGTGTCAGATACTTACTTGAAACCACTATAGGGACAGCTAGTGAGACTGTGAACGTGCAGGTGACAGTATGTGAGGCACCAATTGAGCCTTCTTCAGACAGGAAGGACTTGCTGCTTTCACTTTCTGGGGTCAGATGACCACCCCCCTCAAGTACCTCTAGGCTTTCAGTTTCAAAAGTGCTTTTAGAGCACATTGCGTCCAAGTCTGTCATCTCTTCCTCCATCTCCTCTTCATCCACTGTCTCTGAAGTCCCATGCTCTTGCTTTGCCATCTTGATGTACAATCACTGGACAACAACTGCTTGTAAGACTACGATACAGGAAAAAAAGCTTATTTTAGCGCTGCTCTGCGGAACAAAATATACTCACCAGAGTCAAACCAGGAGCCAGAAAGGACAGTACTAGGAGTCACAAACATTCCCATTTCAAGATGTTTTCAAGCTGTATAACAACATAGTCAAGTTATATATACTCAAACATACTCAAGTTTGGAAGCCAGGATAGCTCACACAAAGGTCTCCAAGTAACAGAACATGGTAACAGTATGTCAATACGCTCAGAAGAAAAGGAAAAAAAACGTTCAAAAAAGTGAAAAGGCTAATGTCCTCTGAGGCTATCAGCTACCCGGTTCTCTTCTACCCACAGAGGAAAGCTGAGTTTTGAAAAAAGTTTTGCTTCCAGGAGGCAGGTGGAGCAGCCGGGGCAGCCCCGCCGCG